ATATATATATATATATATAAGTAAGCAGAAAAATTTTAAAAACCTATAAATTCTTAAAGGTCCCAAAAAGCATCACCTGAGATGGCAAAAAGGTAAAAGATTTCAATATTAAGGAAGGTATTTACATTTATACAAATTGCCTATTTTAAGTTATAATATATTTTGAAAATGATGCTTTTGCAACTCTTTTTTTTTTTAAATAATGTTAAAAAAAAAAAACGAGTTGCAGATATAGTTCTGTGGTGGTGGAGTTAACAATCACCTCAAGCAGCACATTCAGTATTAACTTAATCAGAGATCTAAAAAAATTAAGAGGTAGTAACAAATATTACTTCTAATAATTACTGAGCACTACTGTTATAGGCTAGAAATATTGTGATAGGCACGAGGGACTTAAGGATATGGATTTTTTAGTCTTGAATTCAGGGATTTTAGCACTTTAAAAATTACTCATTTGCTGTGTGTGAAGGCAAATGCCAGTAATCCCATCAGGAGGCTAAGGTAGGAAGATTTTTAAGTTCGAGGTCAATGTGGACAACTTAGCAAGACCTTTACTCAACTTATTTTGTTCAGTTTTCCTGGGTAATTAATTCATACAACTTCAATTACTTTATTATGATACTTATAAATAGAACTTCTTAAAGAGGAGGATGGGCTAGGTGGTATACACTTGTAATCCCAGCAACTCAGGAGGCTGAGGCAAGAGTATTAAAAGTTTGAGGTCAGTCTCTGGTACTTAGTGAGAACCTGTTTCAAAACATAAAAAGAACTGAGAATTTTTTTAGAGGGGGGGAAAAAAACCCTGGGTTCAATGTTCAGTACCCAAAAGAAAAAAAGAAAAGGAGGAGGAAGAACTATTCAATTTGAGACTAACTCAGGGTTAAGGATTAAAATTACAGTTAATTCCTAACAGTTGTTAATAGCATAGTGTTTGGGGGAGAGAGCTTGATCCCAAATTTCCTGGCCATGCTACTTTGTGACACTTTTCTAATAAAAACTACCCATGGAGAGATGCTGAGATTAGAGAGTACAGTGTATGTATAGCACTTAGCTCAGAATCTAGTATACAATATATTTAGTTTTAAATGTTTTATGATACTGGGATGAAACCCAGGGCCTCGTGCATGCTAAGCAAGCCCTCTACCACTGAGCTACATCCCTAGCTCCACAAGAAACATTTAACACTGCATTTATTCTATCAAGCTGTGTTCTACTTTAGGAGTACCTTACAGCAATATTTTCCAAAGGGAGATTTAAAGTTCTCAGAAGAGCAATAAGGTATTAAAAGGAAGCTGCAAAACTACTGCTGAAGCACACTGCTAGTACTAAAGATGATTCTTTTCCATTCCCTCTCCATTACTTACTCTCCCCTGAAAGTCAACCTTTCCTCTCATGAATTCACATTTTAAAATAAGAGAAAATGATTGATGAGAATCAAAGACACATTGACAAGTGATTTGGCATGATCAAATGCACACTGGCTTGTATCCCATTGCAAGATTTGTTAATAATACTTGTGGAGAGTAAGGAGAATATACAAACAACAAGAAGTAACAGCACTGTGTTGTAAAGCCAAATGTGGCTTAATTATTGTTGCTCTGTCCCTGAGGTCCATTAGGCCCTGAAAGACTTGAAATAACCAAAGTACACATGCCTGAAGTAGACACCTGAATGCTAATCTGTTAATTTATAGTGAGAAATATTATTTTCACATGAACCAGAAATACTTAGGACGCATCATCAGCACTGTCCCTCCTTGTGGCCTAGGACGTAAATATGAAAGCCATGGAGCAAATGGTAAACTTAAAAGGTAAACTTCAAAGAAAGAAGTATTAGCCAGGCATGGTGGCACATGCCTACAATCCCAGCTATTCAGAAGGTTGAGGCAAGGAGATCAAATTCAGGGCTGGCCTCAGCAACTTAGTGGCATTACATGGTGTATACATCTATCTTCAAATAAGGTCATGGTCTTCAGAGCTAGAAAAATCTGAAGTCCAACTAAGACAGCACTTACCTTCCCCTAAGAGCTTCTTCCATTTTCTACACCCCATATATAGTATCCTTTTTTAACTGTCTAGGTTGTTTTCAAGCCCAGTTGCCTTCCTTTTCCAAACATTTTTTTAGATAATGTGTGATATGCATCCACTTTGGTACAAAGTAGACATTTGTGAATGCTATATATTTCATGCTAGTAAATAAATGGTGTTTGATGAGTACATGGATAAATGAAATGTATGAAATGTGAATACAAACTGAATCCTAAATTCAAATAAAAAGTGGTGGGGGGACTGGGGATGTGGCTCAAGCGGTAATGTGCTCACTTGGCATGCGCGGGTGCTGGGTTCGATCTTCAGCACCACATAAAAATAAAAAAATGTGGATGTTGTGTCCACCAAAAACTGAAAGATAAATACTAAAAAACGCTCTCTTTCTCCCTTCTCTCTCTCTTAAAAAAAAAAAAAGTGGTGGGGACTTTGCAGATGCAAGGTGAACACAGTTACTGGGTGACTGGAGAAGTCTCTAAAAATGAAAGTCAGTGCCTAGATATGCTTACAGTATGGGCCTAAGTGGTGGCACCCTGAGAATGAGTCACTACAAAGTGATTGACAGAGCCATAAGACCAGGTTTATAACTCCTAAACTGACTAAATACAAGAAAAAAGAAATTGGACCCAAGGCAGCAGGAGACACCCTCAAGGAATCATCTTATTGCTGAGACTCTGCCTTTACTTCAAGAAGCTGCCATGAGATTTCAAAGACTCCAAGTTCTCTCTCCTTCTAAAGTCCTTCTAGCTCCATGCAGATGTGCGCTTCCTGAAAGTCCTTACTGCGAAGCCCTTACGTATGGAACCACTTAAGTCCAGGCCCAGAGAGCATCAAACCTGCCTGCTCCCTAAGACCCTTTCCATGCAACTACTCCAAGGTCAATTTGATCCTCTATCTTGGAGAATGAGATAGGAATCCCTTTTGCTTTAAAAAGGTCTGTCCTCTTGGAGCCGGTTCTAAGGTGCAAAGGGATTAAGGGCAATGTCCTCCAGGAATTTCCTCTTCGTCCACACCATGAGACAATCTGATCGCTCCTGAGTCCCCCGGGGGGGGGGGGGGGGGGCAGGCTCCTCACCACTTGATCCCCACTCCCCCACCAACCGGTTATCACAGCTCCCAAGTCTCGGGACACCCCTACCTCAGGAGAACGCACAGCTCGGTCCCACCAGGGACGCCCGCTACCCCGGTGTCCCACCCTTGGGCGACCCTGGGCCCCCGGCCTCTGCGCACGTGCTCCTCGCTCCCATTCATTCCGCAGCGCCGCTGTCATTGGCGCCGTGACCTCTGCGCCCGATTGGGACACGCGCCTCCCGTCCTCACCTGCGCGAGGGCGTCGGAAGCAGCGCGCAGCCCAGGCGGCCCCGCATGGCCCGGGGAGCTGGGCCCAGGGCTCCGCGTCGCCGGTCTCCAGGAGCAGCCGCGCCGCCACCGCCACCAGCGCAAGGCCATGGTCCGAGTCTGAAAGTCGCGGCCGGGCGGCAGCTCCGCCTCTAGCCCCGCGGCCCTCCTCCGGGGACCCGGAGCCGGAAACCTGGTACAGGAAGCGCTTGGGCCCCGCCCGGCCTCCGCCTCCCGCTCCTCCGGGGCTCGTTTTTCCGGCTGCCGGCGGCGGGGCAGCCCGCTGGTAAGGCCCGGTGTCCCGGAGAGGCGGCGGCCAGCCCTGGGGCCACCAAACCTGGCCTCCTGCGGGATGAACGCTCTGTCCCCACCCCTTCCCCGGAGTCGCTCGGGGGACGGCCGGTCACTCCAAAGTGTACCTTTGGTGGCTCAGCTGTTGGCAAGAAATAGCACAGTGCGCCGGAATCGGCAGCCACGAAAGTCTCGCTCTGCGTATTTTGGCAGAAATATGATTCAGAGCACAGGGTTCTGGTTCTGTGGCCTAACCCGGAGACCACAGTTCCCCCTTCTGCTTCTCTTGAGGGTGACCTGCCACGTTGTCGTGAGCTGCCTTTTACAATCTGCCGCAGAAGGACGTGTCCACCTTCTGCCACTTTCCAGTAACAAGTCCAACCACGTTCAGAGCTACTGTGAAAGAGAAACTAAATTGGCCCTCTCTCTCGACTTTTGGACTCTCTCCTCTGAAAACCTAATAGGTATAGTTTGACATCTTGCTCACATCTGGATATATCGAGTCCCGCGCTTGGGGGTACTGAGGCTGCATACTTTTAAAACATATTTGGTAATGTCAAAATTTACTTGTATCCAGCTCAGAAAGTACTGAAAATGCACAGGACTGGTGCACTAAAGATCTTCTTTCCTTAGCTCTGTTGTCACATCTGTTCTGGTGTTGAGACAGCATGTTAATAACAGAAATCTGATACAGTTAAACATTCATACACAGAGTCAAAAGAGAAAGTGTAAGCATCCGGGATACTGAAAAGAAACGCTTTCCTCAGAAAGTTCACTGTTGGGAAGAAATAGACCAGTAAAATAGATGATTGCAACTCTCTGATATGAATTTTTTTTTCTTATTCTGAAAAACACTTGCATTAAAGAGTGAGGTAGCCCTAGAGCTGAGCACATTAATTTTATATTTATCTTAAAAAGTAAAAAAAAAAAAAATTACTGAGTAAAAATATTACAGAAAGGAACCTATCAAAATAAACCAATTTTGTCTCATTTTTCCCCCAGTCTTGAAGAATAATATATAAAACCATGTAAAGTGCTTTACAAGTAAAAATTGTTAATATGCGCATATGGTTTATCTTGATGGAGATTAGGTTTATGTTAAACATCCAACAGGCATAATTTGTCAAAGTCAAGTGTAGTCTTACATACTTTTATTGTACTTAGAAATCCTTTATTAATATACTATCATTTGCCCTTTTTTACAGATAAGGAAAGTTGTAGAGGAATTAACCACTGTTGGCAAGTATAGTACTCCACAATTCTGCCAGGCCATTTGCAGTTAGAGATTGCTTGGCCAGATTATAACAAAAGTCCTCGCTATTAAGATGTTGTAATAGGGCAAGGCTAAGTAAGGAAAACAGTTATAATTCATTAAGGCTTCCAACATTATTGTATGGCTCAACTCTTGAGGAACAACCATCTACGAATAGGACATGTAGAATTCAAAGGTAGTTCTGGTAGTTCTTTTGGCCCAACTAAGCCAACCATCAGTTTAGGTGGTCAAAAACTGAGCTGTGCAGGTAACTGCTAAAGAACAGATTTATCTTGTGCAGAGTCTAGAAATAATTTCGTTGTGGTTTTTTTTTTTTAACTGAAGCAAATGAAACTACCAGTACTTATGGATTAAAATGGATGAAGTGGGTCGTTGGAAATATTTTCAAAGTTGTCATTTCAACGTTGGAGCGTTGGCTGCACTTCAAGACATTTTCTTGCCATATTAATGGCACTGTTCAAAACATTACCTAAGGCAGGTTTTATACAAAGAAGGGATTATAAACATAATACTGTGTGTTACCATTTTTTGTTGTTTGGTTTGGTTTGGTACCAGGGATTGAACTCAGGGGGACTTAATCACTGAGCCACATTCCCAGCCCTCTCTTGAATTTTGTTTAGAGACAGGGTCTCCCTGAGTTGCTTCATGAGTCATTAAATTGCTGAGGCTGACTTTGAGATCCTCCTGCCTTAGCTTCCCAAGCTGCTGGGATTATAGGCAGGTACCACGTTGCCCAGCTGTTATGATGTTTTGATATATAGTACTGCATAAAATATCTCTTCCAGATGTTATTAGATAAAAGATCAATGGACTATCAACATGATTCTGGCAAGAGTATTTATTGAGAGAAAAAGTTCAAACAGTTACACTGAAAGATTAGCAGATTGTTTTCCTCTGTGCCAGGTCTAAACCCAGAGCCTCTTCATGGTAGGCAAGTGCTGTACCATTCCCAGCCCTTCTCTGAGATTTTTAGTATGACAGATTACTCTATTTAAGTGTCACAGAGTGAGAGATCAGACTTCACTGTTCTGAGGCCAGTGGTCACCTTGTCAAAATGTGCTCTATTTGGTACATATCATAACTGCTAAAAAATCATTCCATGTTGCTCATGCTTTATTAATATGTTAATGCATCATAAAGGAGAGTGCATTAATTATATAATTTAGTCAATTTACACTCAGGCTCTTCTGAAAGAAGAAAATAGACTGTTGAATTTTCTACTCTTGATTGTCAGGTTTTCTGAGATTATCTGTTTTTATTGTGCATGTTGGGGATTGAGCTACATCTCATCTCCAAATCAACTATTTTTTGGTTGACTACCCACGTGCTCCCCCATGAGTCAACATGTACTTAAAGAAAAAATATAAAGAACTAACTCTGGGCCCTATTTTCCTGACTTTATTGCTCATGTGAGGAAGACAGAAACATTATTACTCTTATTGTTGTTACAAGCAACATGTACTTAAGCTAGGCTTGGATGGAATAAATTGGAGTTATTCCAAACAGTTGAGCAAATTGTTCTTACACCACTCTTCTCTACTGATTTGAAATATCATTTTCTCTATATAGGAAATCCTTTTTTATTCTATTCACTTTTAAAAAAATTTCTATATAGGAAATTCTATTATAACATTTTCTTTATACAGGAAATTTGGTTATAACTTTGGGTTGTTTTTGTGCTTTTCATTTCAGTTCCATTGATTTTGTTTTTATTTTTTGGACAAAAATACTTCTAGAATTTTTGAAAAATTTTTTTAGTTGTAGATGGACACAATACCTTTATTTATTTATTTCTATGTGGTGCTGAGGATTGAACCCACACGTGCGAGGCTCTACTACTGAGCTATGGCCCCAGCCCTAGAATATTTAATATGATAAGCAAATTAATTTCTCTTACTTAAAAACATCTCTCCTGTTTCTTTTTCCAGGTTTGCAATTTATCTGCTTTTTTTTTTTTTAAAAAAAAACTCCTACTAGAATTTTTATTAGATTCCTATTTGTTTATTAAATAATTTGGTGACACATTTTGACTATAAGCTCTATCTAGAAACATTGATTTTTGTGCCTCTTAGTCTGATTGATTAATTGATTGATTGATTGATTTCATTGTGGTACTGGAGATTGAATCCAGGGCCTACTACATGCCAGACAAGTAATGTACCACTGAGCTGTAACCCCTTTCCTTATGACTTTATTAACATGCTAACTCTCTTCTTCTATTTTTTGTTTTAGTTGCTTTGGATTAGGAAAACAGATGAAGAATTTAAGAATTTTTCTAAAATAAGAATAAATATATTCTTGAGTATCCAAAGCAAGTTCAAAACTCTCTTCTTTCACAGCTTCTTAGTGTAGTACATGTGCTTTATTGCATGAACTTTACGAAACAGTTTGTCAGTTGGTTTTAGGAGCAATTTTACACTTTTATCCTTCTGAGCAGGCATGAATCAAATGTTTCAGGGTTTGTAGTGGGATCCAGAACAAGTTTGTACATTTATTAAACCATGTGTTTCCTGCTCTTAGAGTTATTTATGTATATATGTGTTTCTTTTGATTATTTTGAGTTTCCTAAGGACAGAATTCATATGATTAAGTGTATAATATATTTTGGTTCTTTTGAGTTGACTAATGTAGTAATGCCACTCACCTTCACTTTATTTATTTCTATTACTTATAAACATGTTGTATATCCTTCTTGTCTCCCAAAATGAAAATCTTTATAGACAGAATATGTGTCTTGTTTTAAACATTTTCTACTTCCCATCTTCTTGGACAGATCCATATATAGGTTGAGTATCCCTTATCTAAAATGTTTGGAACTAGGAGTAGTTCAGATTTTGTAATTTTTTTTTCAGCTCTTGGAATGTTTGCATGTTCATGATGAAATACCTTTGGGACGGAACCCAAATCTAAATGCAAAATTCATTTATGTTTCATATGCCCTCATACATGTTGTCTGAGACAATTCTATAAATATTTTTAGTGTGCCTGCATTTTAATTGTGACTGTCACATGAAATCAGATCTGGAATCATCTTGTGGCATCATGTAGGTGCTCAGAAAGTTTAGGATTTTGGATCTTCAGATTAGGGATGCTCGCCCTGTACATAACGTGAATATTGGATAATGTTGAAAATGATTAAATAGTTTTCTGAATAAAAATATGAAGAAAATAGTAGTTTAGGTAGGCATTTTGAAGAACCATAGTTTTTCAAAAGAATATTTATGCTGTGTATGCAGCAAATGAGAACAATAAAAAGGGTTTTGTTTTGTTTTGTTTTGACAGCTGTGTTGCCAGTTGATCCTGTTCAGGAAAATTATGTTCGTAAAGTGAAAAACTGTATTTTTTCAATTGCCTTCCCTACTCCCTTCAAATCAAGAGTACTTCTTGCAGCAGTCTCAAAGGTTAGGCTTTATTTTTTTCTTACCACAAATACTTAGCTCACTAAAACATTTGTCTAACAAAGTATAAAAATTGTTCTGAGTTTTTATTGTTAATCTATTGATAACTTTTTATATTTAAAGCTCAGAAACCTGGAAAATATCATTCTTAGAGCTCACTTTTCAATACTTGTTCCTGGAGCATAGTATTCAGCTTTATCCTGAAGTTATCTTACAAGAAAGATATGCATATGTGGAAAAGAGGAAAACGAGTTAAATTTTTATTTTACATAACTTTTAGAAATTATCTCTAGTAACAAATTCTAAATTATTCTCTCATGATACAAATGTATTTGATATAAAAATAGGGCATTTACTTTTTTCTAGTTCTTTGAAAGAATATGTGCTAGGAAAAATATTATTTTTTGATGCATCACAGGAAATCCATGAAAATTTTAGAACTATCTCATAGAACTAATTTTCTGCAAATAGCATAAATAATCATAGAAAGTCTGGTATATCTCTTATAAAAATGTAATGTATTTTTGGAAGAAGTCTATTCTTGTAATTTTCTTCTATTAGGTCTCTTTTCTTAAAAATTATTCAAAGATTACTTAGGTTTGTAAGAAGACTTTTTTCCCCTGCCTCAGGAAGTTCTAGAAGATATTTTGGATCTTGATGTTTCTGTATCAGAAACGGATGATTTTATCCAGCTTGTTAGTGGTGGAAAGATAGTATCTGGATCTGTTCCATTGGCTCACCGATATGGTGGCCACCAGGTAAGAGTACAACATCATTTTCTGTATGTAAATAGAAACATTTGTTTGAAACGCTATAAATTATTTAAATTATTTTCTCTAATATTATGATATTGAGGGTTCAACAAGATGTTTGTAGAAGAATGTCATCATAAGATGCATATGTTGGGGCTGGGGTTGGGCTCAGTGGTAGATTGCTTGCCTAGAACATAGGAGGCACTGGGTTTGATCTTTAGCACCACATAAAAATAAATAAGTAAAATAAAGGTGTTGTGTCCACAATTAAAAATTTAAAAATTAGGGCTGGGGTTGTGGCTCAGTGGTAGAGCGCTCGCCTCGCACGTGCAAGACCCTGGGTTCGATCCTTAGCACCACATAAAAAAATAATAATAATAAACAAGTGAAATAAAGGTGTTGTGTCCAACTACAATTTAAAAAAATAAAGAAAAATAAAAAATTTAAAAGATACATATGTCATAAGCGAAAAATCTGAATATATAACCAAAGAATATAAAGAGAGAGCAAACAAGTATATAAAAAGATATTCAATGTCATATCATTAGGGAATTGCAAATCAGAACAAGATATTAGAATGGCAAAAAATAAATGCTAGTGAGGATGTGAAACAATAGAAACTCTCATTCATTGCTGTGGGAATGCAAAATAGTACAGTGACTTTAGAAGATAGCTTAGTAGTTTCTTTAAAAAGCTAAACTTCTACCATATGATACAGCAGTTATACTCCTTGGCATTTGAGTTGAAATGCGTTTAACTTTATGTCCACACAGAAACATGCACATACATTGCATAGTAGCTCTATTCATAATTGCTTAAACTTGGAAGCAACTAAGTTTTCCTTTAGTAGATGAATGGATAAATAACCTATGGTGTGTCCTGACAATGAAATAGTATTCTGCATTAAAACAAAATGAGCTATTAATTAAAAGTCATGGGGAAACTTAAATGTATATTACTAAGTGAACAAAGCCCATCTGAAAAGGTTAAGCTCTGTATGATTCTAACTTTATGACACTCTGGAAAAGGCAAAATTATGGAGATAGTAAAAAGATCAGTGGTTGACAGGTTAGGAGGAGGAAAGGATGAATAAGCAGAGCATGAAGGACTGTTAAATCAATTGAATTATTATTTTCGATATTATAATGGTGGCTACACATCATTACACATTTGTCCAAACCCATGGAAAATATGACACCAAGAATGAATTCTAAACTATGGACTTTGGACAATAGTGAGATGCCAATGGGTATCGTTGTGGTGGAGTATGTTGATAATAGAGAGGATACACATGGAGTGGGGAAGGGGTGTATGGAAAATCCCTGTACTTTCCTAATTTTGCTGTCAGACTAAAATTGCTCTGAAAAATAAAGTATTTTAAAAGGGGGGATTATGGGAGAGAAGTTAGAGCCTGATCTTTTTAAATAGGGGGTGGAGGATAGTTCAGTGGTAGGTTGCCTAGCACTTGCCAGGCCCTGAGTCTGATTCCTAGCATCAAAAAAACCAAACAAACAGAAAAATTTAAAAACGAAGCTTTTAAAAATGGAATTGAGAAAACTGGGTCAGCACAAATATAAAATTCACATGACTTTTTACTAGAGAACTCGGTGCAATATTGGCAATGGATTTAAGCAAAGCCAAGTAGCACAATGTGTCAGTATAAAAGTCTCAGGAGGACAAACATTATAATTTTGCGAGAGTAGCTGTAAATCAGAGTAGTAGAACTGCTAGAAAGACAATAAATAAGGAAATAAAGATTCATTGGAGGGTGTAATAGATGCTGTAGCAATAAGGAAATAATTAAGGCACACTGTAACAATGAAGCAAGATGTTGAGAGAAGTTCAGGGCATGGTGTCTAAATAAGAACAGATAAAAAAATGCAGGACTAGTTGAAATTTCTGTCTTTTTTCTGTAGGCTAAACACAATGAAATACTGCCTGTTTATTTAGGGGCTATTTTTGTAATGATGATTTTAATTAGAGAATAATTTTTGGAATCAGCACTAATGTATAACAGTAATAGTATAAGGATTAAATTAGGAAATTATGAAAAGTGCTTACATATGAACTTACAGAACAGTAGTTATGAGATCAAGCTCTGGTTTGTTGGGTTAATGAATTCCTTTCTTCTTTAAAGGCTCATAAACTAAGAAGCAAGGTAACTTAAACCATTAGAATTAGAAAGAATTTTTTTTAGATTTATTTTTTAGTTATAATTTGACATAATACCTTTATTTTATTTATTTATTTTTATGTAGTGCTGAGGATCGAAACCAGGACTCACAGGTAGTAGGCAAGCACTCTACTGCTGAGCCACAACCCCAGCCCAGAATTAGAGAGGATTTTTAAGGGTCATCTGTGATGCACCTCAGTTTGTTGATCTTGAAAGATCATTCCAGAAGCTGGGAGAAATGAGCCAGCAAAGAAATCTGCCAAGTTTTATTGAACACACCATTTTATAGACATACTACAGGGTTTGTTATTTTGTTTTCAAGGAATAACAACGTTTTACTAAACTGTGTTTCTCAGTTGAGAAACTTCTGTACTAAACAATCCTTTGGTCTTTTCTAGCAGGAATGTCAAGGCTCAAAAAGTAATCTTGTGTGGATTAAATTTATTTGAAATTGTTTTATCCATTGCTTACATATACTGCCAAAGTACAAAAACAAAACTCAAGCTCTGTGGAATTTCATTAAAGCATTCTTTTTGTGGGTTTTTCTTTTTTGTAGTATAATAGGTAGACTAGTAAATTAAAACTTTTATCAATTTCATGTTGATGTTATAGATATTTGTTTATAAGAATGTCTTTGCCACTCTGAACTTTAGTTTAAATTTATTTCTCTTTTAATGATGGAAAACTAACTTCCTGGTATCCTGATTTCCTTCCTAGCACTGAATTAATCATTCTTTGTCCTTTTCACTCATGGAGTGGAATATACTTAAGTATTGTTCACTTTGGAACCTTTCCAGATGATGGTGAGAGCACCTCTCAGACTTGTAGTCTTATGGATACTCAGAATTTGTGGTGGTCTCTTCCTGGTGAGGATGACAAAATAGTGGATGAATTTTTCTCAATTCTGGAACTTTAAGTATCATTTGAATATTCCATAGCTGTTTTTAGAACTTCCTGTGTGTGCTGGGAACTATAATGGTGAATGAAATCTGTCCCTTTCCCTCAAATGGCAGTAGTTTATGGAAGATGATAGATAAATAATAAACTTCAGGAACATCAGGGTAGTGATTTGGGCAAGTATAGGAGTTACAGGAGCTTATAGGACCACCTTGTTAGTCTGCAAAGTCAGAGATGACTCTTGTGGAGTAACATCTATGTTGAAAATGGAATATTGTCTATATTAGCAAATGATTGTTGGCCATAATAATTATTACTGTCTTATGGACACTGGCAAATGTCAGACATTGTACAAGTTACTTCTCATATATTAGTGTTCATTCTAGCAGCAACATGACAAGGGTTATCCCATTTTACAGAAATGTAAGGTCAGTCATGGGCTGAACAACCATATATGAATTTTAACAAAAAAATTTGAGAAAAGTAATCATCCAAGTTCAGAACAATTTTTTTAGGTATAAGTATAATCATGATTTTGTATTGTAGACGTATAATATAGGAATAGTCTGTTAATAAATTGCTCCTAGTTCTCTCTTTCTCTCTTTGTCATAGACACACACACACACACACACACACACACACACACATACATACACACACACACACACACACACTCAGATATATATATTTTTGGTCCTGGGGATTGAACCCAGGGCCTTCCTTGTACATGCTCTACCACTGAGCTACATGTGCAACCCTAGTTTATATTCTCTAACTAAATAAATCAGTTCTAAGTGTTCTACACTACCAAATTTAATCTGAGTTCTAGATGATAAAATAATTATGTTTTTTAATGTTTTATAACACATTGTTATAGTTACATATAATAGTGGAATTTATTTTGACATATTCATATGTGCATATAATATAATTTGTTTCATTTCAATCCCCAATATTTTCCCTTTCCCTTTCTTCCTCCCTTCCCCTGGACCCCTTCCTCTACTTTATTGGTCTTCCCTCTATTAATATATTGTTTTTTAAATTGGTGCTTTATATACTTATATAAGAATGAATTGGTTTAAATTTGTATTTTTTAAAGTGAATTTCACTTGTTTTATTGATTGAATTTTTTTTCACCATTATTGCAGTTGTAATTTTAAGTTATTATTTCTAGAAATAGAACACTTTAAATGACTTTGACTATAAAAATTATTATCAAAGCTTTAAAGATAATATGCATGAATAATTTTCCTTTCCCTCTTTTAGTTTGGGATGTGGGCAGATCAGCTTGGAGATGGAAGAGCTCACCTTATTGGAACTTATACGAACAGGTACCACATTTTTTCTTATATAATAGCTTATTTATTATATTTGAACCTAAATCTTCTAATATGTAAATTTTTTTTGAAGACAGGGTGAAAAAATGGGAGCTCCAGTTAAAAGGCTCGGGAAAGACCCCATATTCCCGGTATAGTTTGATAATACGTTTAGACATCTAAGTAAGAATTATGTTGTCTTAATTAAAAATGAAATTCTTTTAAATTGTATTTCCTATAGAAATGGTGATGGTAGAGCAGTACTTCGTTCCTCAGTGAGAGAATTTCTGTGTAGTGAGGCTATGCACTACCTTGGAATTCCAACTAGCAGGGCTGTAAGGTAATTCCTTTTTCCTTCAAGTAACTTTCAGGACTGCATCATATTATCTCCAGAAATGTGTTAGGAAAATAGAGCAGATAAATCTCTGAGAATATGATCTCTTATAGTTTCTTGTCACTTAAGGTATTTCTTGATTGCAGATGAATGTTTGGGTTCTGTTTGTTTCAGCCTGGTTGTAAGTGATGATGAAGTATGGCGAGATCAGTTCTACAATGGAAATATTACGAAAGAACGAGGTAATTGTTTTTAGAATACTTACAGAAAACTGAACTAACTTCTTTAAGATCAACAGTTATTGGACATCTTTGTGGTCACCTTAAAAACAACCCATGGTTCTTCAAGATATAATTTCAGCATTGCAGTATCAGAATAGAGTAGCCTTTCCTGTATCCTTATATCACCAACCCATTCATTTCTGAGGCAAACATCTGGGAAGTGAACAAAAAATGTTTAGGAATAGCTGGGAAAAATGTTACAAAGCCAATACAGGAAGGTTCTTACATTTTATTCCCAGGAGAGCCCCACAGATCTTTCCATGGAGCCTGATTTCTCTGATTTTATGTTCTCTATCAATAAGCTGAATTTTCTTTTTCTTTTGCATTTAGTAGTTTAGAAATAAAAACTAGAGAGGGGAGTGAGAAAGTATGCTGTAGAGGTAGACTGCATATTTAGAGAGGCCAAAGAGACTGAGAGAGATTTGACTGAATCTTTGGGGAAGAGAGGAGACCTAAAAATTAATAATTAACATTTAAGAGCTTAAAAGTGAAGCTATCAAGAACTACTGACAGTCCGTTGTGCTTTAGTGGGTCTTATGGATATCACTGTGTTTGTCATGGACTGCATTCTTTCTGATGTTCATAGTGATTCACTAGGAGTACCTTTTATGTACTTTGTACTTAGTGCATGATGCATATTTTGGTCTGTGGTGCTATAACAAAACATTTTAGACTGGCTAATTCATAAACAATAGAAATTTTATTACACACAGTTCTGGAGGCTGAGAAGTTCAAGATGAATTTTCTAGCAGACTCTGTGACTGATGAGGGTTCTCTGCTTCATGGCACTTTCTTACTATGTCTTCAAATGATAGAAAGGGAAGGCAGATCTCTGGAGGCTCTTTTATAGAGGCATGAATCCCATTCATGAGGACTGAGCCCCCATGACTTAATAGCCTTCCAAAACCCCACCTCCTTGGTGATTAGATTTCACATCTGAATTTTAGTAGGATACAAACTTTCAGACTATTGCAATACATTTTTAAAATTTTTTTTAGTTGTGGATGGACACAATACTTTTATTTTTTAAAAATTTACTTTTTAGTTATAGGTAGACATAATATCTTTATTTTATTTTTATGTGGTGCTGAGGATTAAACCCAGTGCCTCACATATATTAGGTAAGCGTCCTACCACTGAGCTACAACCCCAACCCCTGCAATACATTTTTATAAGATCTTCCTAAAAAAACAGTCCCATAAAAGTATTCATACATAAAGGAATTAAGGATTATTTATCTTGCAGCATCTTTCTTTCTCTTTTTATGTCATTGGAGCAAAATGATACTATTGTACATAGGCTGCTAGCAAGTATTCTTGTCTTATTTTAAAATATATTTTTACATGTTGACAGACTTTTATTTTATTCATTTATTTATATGAAATGCTGAGAATTGAACCCAGGCCTCACATACACTAGGCTCTACCATTGAGCCACAACTCCAGCTTCCTGTTTTTATCTTCTTGTTCATGAGGATTGGATATGAAATTCAAACCACAGACTTTTAGAATGATTAGTACAGTGCTATTTACTTTTGTGGCTGTGACTTATATACATTGTTTATTTGAATTTTGAGCCACAATCTTAATGGTTTCAAATGATCCCAAGAATTTCTTCTATTAGTCCATTAAGATAATTTCCATATTTAAGTCTTTACATAAATACAGATACTTTGCTGGGTGAGGTGGTGCAGGCCTGTGATCCCAGCTGCTCAGGAGGCAGGGGCAGGAGGATTGCGAGTTCAAAGCCAGCCTCAGCAGTAGAGAGGTGCTGAGCAACTCATTGAGACCCTGTCTCTAAATAAAATACAAAATAGGGCTGGGGATGTGGCTTAGTAATTGAGTGTCCTTAAGTTCAATCCCCAGTACCCATACCCCCCCCCAAATACAGATACTTTGATAGTACTTTTATCCTAATATTTGCCCAGGAACCACTGTTACATAGCAAGCTTAGTATACTGGACAAGAAAAAGGATATATGAAAACTGGAACTGGCTCTACAGAAACTAGCTTTGTGACTTAGGCAAGTTACTTAAACATTCTGCCCCTTAGTTTCTTCACCTAATATTAAGAGGTTAGATTTAATGATACTTCTAGTGCTAAATTCAGTGATTCAATGACTATCATTAAGGAGACAGAGTAATTTTTTGAGTTTTTCCTAGAGGTTTTTACATAGTTTTTGTTAAAAAGTGAAAATAAATATCCAGATTAGTATTGTGAATAAGTGTTGACCCTCGATAAGGCATTCAACTCAGAAAAACTACGCTTTCTGTGTTTACCACTGGACTAAACTCTAGTGGGTACAAAATTAATAAGTATGCCATAGTCCCTGGTCTTAAGAAACTCAGAGTCTTTGTAGACAAAAGGCTTAAACTCATGGAACAAATTATAATAAAAAAGAGAGAGGTCAATAAAAGGGGGATCAGTTGAGTTTTATAGAGGAAGTGGGAATTGATCCTGAGCATAAGGTTAGGTAGGAGTTTGTTTAGTAAAGAGAGAAGAAGGAGTGCGGTATGTGGAAGAGGGGAGACCAGCATAGGCAAAGGCCAAAGACCAAAGAGAGGTAGCAATGAGCCTGGTAGTCTACTGAAGGGAGGACAGCACAACAGAACAGGGCTTGCTTCACTCTAGCATAGACTTCACCTTGACAGCTAACCATGTAAACTACAGCATTTCTTATAGAAAGAAACATGGATTCTGTCTACTAATTATATTACATCCATAATCAAAACAGAAGAAGGCAATAGAAGGCTAAAAAGACCAAATGCATAGATTTATTTTATTTCTTCAGTATATTTTTAAGTTAGAATATACGTAAGATTCTTTGTTAGAGTTAATTCTCAATTAATTACAGGTCTGGGAGGCACTTATAATGACCTAAGCAAAATAAATGATGTATTAATTCCTTACTTCAGGATGAGATACAGGGAAAGGGCCACAATTGATGAATCATTGGAGAATCTGTAGTTTGCAGATAACAACCACTTCTCAGCCTTTAGCTATGCTGTTTCTAAAAGCTTAGTGGATCTAAGCATTCTGAGAAAAACTGGAGACCATTCATGCAGTAGACATTAGTTACTTTTTTGGTAAATTAAGTGGTTTTCTTCTTTCTTTTATTAACATTTAATTTTCAGGCAAACATTTTGCTATTATTAACATAGCTTAACTTAGTTTTTTTAAAATATATATTTTAAATTGTAAACGGACACACTACCTTTATTTTATTTATTTATCTTTATGTAGTACTGAGGATCAAACCTAGGATCTCACACATGCTAGATAATCACTCTACCACTGAATTACAACCCCAGCCCTTAATATAGTTTTCAGCTAAAATAAATGTTTCTTTTTAAGGTGCAGTAGTGCTTCGTGCTGCGAAATCATGGTTTAGAATCGGATCATTAGAAATTTTGGCTCATTATGGTGAGCTGGATTTATTGAGGTTAGAAAATTGCTTTTTATTTTATTGAGCAGTAAATAACTATAAAAATGTACATATTGAAGGTATACAGTGTGATGTTTTGACCTATGTATACATTGTGAAATGATTACCACAACCAAGCTCATTAATATATTCATCTTCTCACAGTTACTTTGTTTGTATGTGTGTGATGAAAATACTTAATATCTACTCCAAATTTCAGGTGTACATTATATTATTATTAACCTTGGTCTGTACATGAGGTCTACAGAACTTATTTATGTTATTACAAAAACTCTGTACCCTTTGACTAGCATCTCCTCATTTCCCCCAGTCCCTGCCCCTGGTAACTGCCATTCTGTTCTCTACTTCTATTAAGTCCACTTTAGATTCCACATGAAAATGTGATGATTTGTTTTTCTGTGCCTGCCTTGTTTCACTTAAGTCTTCCAAGTTTATCCATGTTGTTGCTAAAGCTAAGAAAATTACATTTTAAAAAATGGTACAAAAATATTGGGGAAATGCTAATTTATGTGCTGAGAAATTAAATATTTTCCTATAAGTAAAGCCAAGAACTTTAATTAACAATGTGTGTGTGTGTGTGTGTGTGACTGCATGTCAAACTCAGAGCCCCATGTCTGCTAGGCAAACACCACTGAGCTACACTCTCAGCCCTCAGTTAATAACTATTTTTAACTCTTGCTATGTGCCAAATACCTTGTGAGGTTTCTAGGAAGTTAAAAAAAAAAAGAAGAAGGATAACAACCAGTAGTCCCTTTTCTCAAGGTATTTTTATGTAATATGCAACCTGGGTTATAGCTGAGGGTCTTCATGCCACCTAGAGCCATGGGGCAAGTAACTGAAACTCCCCAATTCTGCAGCCTCCACAAATCCATAGCTCTCCTCCAATGCTAGGATTCCTGGGTGCACCTCTCTCACATCTGTTCCTTCACACAATGAAGTTCAGCCCTCCAACAGCACAGACAAGCAACAGTCCACATTTACACAGAGTCTTTAGGACAGGGTGCATCTTTCTGAAGATTTCTGTTGGGGAGCCAGAGGAGAAGTTGTTTCAGCTTCCATCATTCTCTTTTGTCTTAGTGCCTACTGTGTCTGTGTACACAAAACTCCATCTTATTAAAGCAAACTTAGCTAGATGTTACTTCAGACAAAAATATTTCCTCCTTTAAGAGGAATTCTGTTTCCATGTTAATACAAATCTGTTTTAAAAAATCATTAAAAATGCACCAGAAAAATTTTGCTAGACCCTTTGTATCATTTGGAATGTAGATCTCATATTGTAGTTATTGGTGTAGGAAATCCAGAAAAAAAAAAAGAAGGAAATGAGTCATCAGCATTTATTATGATTGTTTTGATTCTCTCTCTCTCTCTCTCTTTTAACAAATGTTTACTGAGTTTATGGTCGTCCTGCTGTTGAATAGAGTTGTCTATTTTCACTGGGCATTGTTTCTAACCATCTATTTACTTTTGGGGGTGACTACTGTTTGGATTCTCCATGCTTGTCAGCTTTTCATCGCTGTGACCAAAATACCTGTCATGAAAAATTTAGAGGAGGAGAAGTTTATTTTGGCTCATGGTTTCAAAGGTTTAGTCCATGGTTGACTAAGTGCATTGCTCTGGGCCCAAGGTGAGGCAGAATATCATGGTGAAAGGAGGAGGTGCAGGAGTGCTAAATATTGGAGAAATATTTTTCTTTTTCCAGTTTTGAGTAAAAGCTTACAGTTTTTAAAATTTAAGGTTGATATAATGAATTCATAAATGCTGAGAGTGGATTTAGGTGCTTGGATATGCAGTACTGTATTATAAGGAAGATTGACAATATATCTTTCTCCCCAGGACACTGTTAGATTTCATTATACAGGAACATTTTCCCTCAATAGATGTCAAAGAACCTAATAGATATGTGGTAAGTTTGACTCCTTTTTCCCTCATTGGCCCACCAATGTTAGATATTATAACTTACAAAAGTAAAGCTGGGAAAGGAAGTATAGATCACTTTGAACATTTTGTTAGAGGAAAAGAAGATGAACCACATTATAGACAAGACAGTTGTTTTGTTTGAAAGCTGCCTAGAAAAGAGCAGGTGTGTCTACATCCTGACTATGTATGTTATTTTTTTTTGAGTGGCATTTATAATTTGATCACATATTTTCTTCCCTCACACATTAGGTGTATAGATATTTCTATAGTAATAGCTAAAAAGCAAATCCAATACATAATAAGAAAACATGGTTTCCCATTCTTTTGGAAGGTTTTTGATCTTCATAGCCCTTTTCATTCTTTCAACAGTTACAGAATAGGGAATTCTGTTATTTTTCTTGGTGACATTGCAAAATTTAGTAACTCCCAATGCTTTAATTGAACTTTCTTATAAATTCTATTTAACTTTTCTTCTTGCTCATGGAGAATGTTAACCATAATATCTGAGGCTCTTAAATATATTATTTCTGGATGAATAATTTTACTTTCTTCTGTTTTAATGATATGTATGTATTTCTGTTCTTCAGTTACCTTCTGATCCATGTTTGAATTCTTCCCATGTTCTCCTTGAAGATGTACATTATCTTAAGTATCATAAAAGATTATGCCATATGCTATAGAAAACCTGAAAAACTCCTGAATTTTATTTTAGGATTTTTTTTCTACTGTGGTATTTGAGACAGCACAACTTATTGCCTTATGGATGTCTGTTGGCTTTGCTCATGGTAAGTTATCTATTGCATTTTTCTGATGGGAAAGTAGAATTAATTTTTTAAGTAAAAATTGTATTTTTATATAGTTAAAAATATTCCTGTGTTCCAGCAGCTCAGGAGACTGAGACAGGATAACTGCAAGTTCAAGGCCAGCCTTAGCAACCTAGAAAGGCCTTAAGCAACTTACTGAGACCCTGTCTCAAAATTAAAATTAAAAAAAGGCTGGGAATATGGCTCAGTGCCTAGAACCCACTCCTCCCCACTACTCTGGTTCAATCCCTGGTAACAAAAAACAAACAAACAAACAAATAAATAAATAAAAATAAAGAAGAAGAAAAAATTCTTGTGGATGAGCTTAACGTTTACTTGCTTTTAGCAAGCAACAGAGAAAGATTTTTTCATGTTTAAAATGATTTTGAATGGAACAGTAATCACAAAATAGGACAAGGTTACTTGTAAAGCCTTCCAACCTCAAGGTTATAATGTGTATCAGTATGGATTATGCCTAGAGTTCTTTAAGGCTTTTCTAAAAATTTAAATTATGATGTGTAACAATATGTATGTATTATGTTTAAAGCTCTTTAAGGCTATTTTAAAATTTTAAATTATAAATACTTATGATAAAGTACAGAGAAGTAACTGTGAGTTTTATTCTTCAAGGTAATCACTGTTAAATATTCCAAATCAGTTCTTCCAGACCTTTTTTGTATGCTATATAGATGTCTCCAGCAAAAACAAACAAACAAACAACACCCCAAAAAACCACAACAAAAAAAGGGCAAGGCTCCCCATGCTGCCAATCTTCTGCAGCTCATGACTATCATAGGGGACACATCTTAGTTTCTTTTTTCTTTTTGTAACCTTTGAAAACTAATTTATCATATTCCTTTATTAGTCTCATTTCAAATAATATGTGCTTTTAAACAAATGCTAAAATTGAGGATGAATAAAAGATGAAGTTCCATTTCTGGAGTTTTGTTCCTATAATATTTGAAGGCTTTTTGGGGGACTATAAAATAATAGCTAAATTTAATTTTAAAATATAGTTTTTTTGTGTGTATGCATGTTGTTGTTTGTTTGTTTTGAGGTTCTGGAGATTGAACTCAGGGACATTTGACTATCAAACCATATTCCTACATTCTCAGCCTCCCTTTTAAATTATTATTATTATTTTTTAATTTTAAGAGAGAGTCTCTCTAAGTTGCTGAACCTGACCTTGAACTTGTGATTCTCCTGCCCCAGCCTCTTGAGTAGCTGGGATTACAAGCATATAATACCCAGCGGGTCTAAACATATTAAGTTTTTTAATGTTACCAGTTAAATTCAGTTGTAATCTAATTTTGTTTCATCTCTGGAAAACATGGCATTCCTGTAACCTTTTATATTCTGGGTAATTTGATAGAGTTAAAATAAAAAGGTTATTATTTTAATATTGTTTTTTTCAGAATTTTCTGTTGTTGTTTTAGGTGTTTGTAATACTGATAACTTCAGTTTGTTATCCATTACAATTGACTATGGTCCATTTGGTTTTATGGAGGCCTATAATCCAGGTATGTATGATTTACATATGTGTATGTATTTAATTTTTTAAAACCATAGGTTTACTGTAAATGGTTATAAATAATACAATGATGCAGTAGTAGAAAGAATTGGGTTCATTCATAAAATGTTAGTTTTATGCCTAGTAGATCTTTTGGGTACTATTAATGATACAGTGAATCCTTTGGTGGTTTCTGCTTCTCTGAATTATATATTAGCGGAGATGATATAAAGTGTTTCAGGGAATATGTTGTCAGGCAGACCTGGGCTTAAGCTTTGGTGTCTGGACCTTAGTGTCTCTGAGCATTTGGAAACTTCTCACTTCACTAATATATAAAATGCAGGTAACAGTAATCCACTAACAACTGGATGGTTCAGAGAGGGCTTTGTGTAGGATATGCACCTTGAGTTAGAGTTTAAATATACACGTGGGCTGGGGATGTTGCTCAGTGGTAGAGCACTTGCTGTCTTGAATAAGGCTCTGGGTTCTATCCCCAGTACCCTCTCTTTTCCCCATCAAAAAAGGAAATAGATATGTGATAAACTATACATTCTTATAGGTTAGAAATGTATTCCTCTATTAGGCAAATATTCATATTTTTAAAACTTTTAGTGTAAATAGGTAATAAATACTTTTGAATTAAATATCTAATGTCAGAAAAATTTTTATCTAATAAATATATATTAAGTTTAAATGTAACCTTTAAACAGAAAGAAGCTATTTATTTATAATTATCCCCATTGTTAAACTGTGATATCTGTTTTAAACAGATTTTGTACCAAACACATCAGATGATGAAAGAAGGTATAAAATAGGAAATCAAGCCAGTATTGGAATGTTTAATTTAGACAAGTTGTTGCAAGCTCTAAACCCATTATTGGATCTTGGGCAAAAGCAGATGTGAGTAAATCCTAAATCTATTAATTAAATCTATGTGAAAATATATTGTATAATGATAACTTTTTGAAAAACAAGAAATTAACATTTAAAATAATATTTTATTATTTAATAATAAAGGTGTATACATACCCTATGTATAATATTTATGATAAAAATTTATGTATTTATTTTTGTGGCACTAGGGATTGAAGGATTGAACATAGGGCCTCTCTACCACTGAGCTACATCCATGGCTTTATGTTTTCATCTGGAGAGAGGCTCTTGCTAAGTTGCTCAGGCTGGCCTCAAAATTGTGATTCTTCTGCTTAAGCCTCCTGAATATCTGAATTATAGCTGTGTGTGCGCTATGTTGCTTGGATCAAGTTATGTAATTTTCTCTAGGACAATTTGGACTTTTTTCCATAATTATTAGGATAAAGTTTTTATTGTTTATTGCTTTTGAGATGTTATGAAACCTTAGTTTATTTTCTGTTTGATCCAAGGGTGATTTATCACTATGTTTCTTAATTTCTAATTAGTGGGAATTATTTTGTCAATATTTTTATTTGTGCTTTTTTTTTTTTTTTAAATAGTACTGGGAATTGAACCCAGGGCCTTAAGCATATTAGACAAGTACTCAAGCCCTGAGTTACAATTTCATCTCTTGTTCATATTTTTATGACCAAAGAATGTGTTTGGTAAAATCTCTATTATTTGTGGGCCAACATAAAATATTTTGGGACATGTTTAACAAACACACGTAAAAATGTATATTCCATAGTTAAAGGTTTTAATATATCAAAATGAGGGTGTTAATTGTGTTATTCAAGTCCTTTATGACCCTATTTTATGTATTAGAAAAGTTTGATTCTTAAGATATGCATATTAAGAGCTTCTTCTTTAGGCTGAGAATGTGATTCAGTGGTAGAATGTTTGCCTAGCACGTGTGAGGCTTTGCATTTGGTACTTAGCACTGCAGCAAAATACAAAACACAACAATAACAACAAAAATTCAGAACAACTACTTTAATTGCAATTTTTTTCTTTTTTTAGTACTAGGGATTAAACCCAGAGGTACTTAATCAGTGAGCCACATCCCCAGCCCTTTTTTATTGTTTATTTTGAGACAGGGTCTGGCTAAGTTGCTTAGGCCCTTACTATGTTGCTGAGGCTGGCTTTGAACTTGTGATCCTCCTGCCTCAGCCTCCCCAGCCATTGAGATTACAAGCATGCACTACCATGCCTGGTTAATGGTATTTTTTTTAATCAAGTTTTAAAACATTGTTTGAAATTTGCATATTTATTATTTATTATTGGTATATACAGGTTTTTACTTATCTTTTTTTTTTCCAAAAAAATATCTTCTACCTTTCATTGTGCTTTATCATTATTTTACTGTCACAACCCCCAACCCCTCTTTTCTTATTCTTTTTTTTAATTTGAAATATTCATTCAGTTTTTCCCCTGTTGGTTTGGAAACTCTACTGAAGAAAAAAAACCAATTTTTTTCTTTACTGCTAATTACTTTCTTTTCCTGCCCCTTTCCCTATTATTATATGAAAACAAGTTTCCAAATATTTTCCAACATATTTTCTGATTCTAAAAGTCTTAAAATACTAAGATTCTATATGCCCATTGCTTTCCTTTCCATCCCAATAGGATGAGACTTATTTTTTAGAATGTTTTCATGTTTTACCTCCAGTTACCTGAGTTCTAGAATTTAATATTTTGAATTTTATATTATTAGGTTCCTTTAAAGTGTTCCTCATCTGTCCCCCACCCCAGTACTGGGAACTGAACTCCAGGATACTTAAACACAGCCACATCCACAGCCCATTTTATTGTTTATTTTGAAACAGGGTCTCACTAAGTTACTGAGCTAAGTTACTGAGGCTAGCTTTGAACCCATAATCTTCCTCCTCAGCCTGGGATTACAGACATGAGCCGTTGTACCCAGCAGTACCTCCTCTGTTTTTGGCCTTTTTTCTTCTTTTCTTCTTTCCTTTTGGGTTCTTTTCCTTGTTTATTCCCTTTTTTTTATGGTTTCATCTTGAAGTCTCTGCCTCAATTACTTTCCAAGTATTTCACTCATACAGGAAATATAGGCAATACATTCACTAAATTATGTAACCTTTAGTATTTTAATTTTACTCTGGTAAATGATTGCCATCAGTATATTAGCTAGTATGGATTCAGTTATATGTAGCAGTGTTTTATCATTCATATTTATCTGCAGACCTAAGCCATGTTCTCCAGACTAGCTTTTTGGGTAATAAGGCTGAAATTTTAATCTCCATCTATCAATTGTGTGGTTTCTCATTCTGAATTTATACTAAAAAAGGAACATGTTTGTCTGTTTAAAGCAAGAGTAAATAATGATTAGACAAATTTGCAATGTTCACAATTATTCAAATGGAAATATCATGTATGTATGTGAGTATGAGTGAATGGTAATCTGAGAACATTAATAAAGGAGAATGTTTAGATATTTATTGATTTATTCACTGGACATTGAGCACCTTAAGAGCAAGGACAACAATTTAATGATTTCTGTGTCTCAAATGTATTTGCTAGAAGTTAAGATTAAGTGCAGTACTGGGGATTGAACCCAGAGCCTTGCCCGGGTTAGGAAAGTGCTCTACCATTGAACTATATTCCCAGCTCTAAAATATGTTTTTCTTTCCACCACCTTTGTCCCTACAAAATCTAAAATTTACCTTTTCCTATACACGATTCCAAACAGAAGTCAAGGCATATAGTGATTTTATTAACCATAGGTAGCAGAAATATTACTATTAAGAAGATAAAAGTTTTACAGGTCTTCTATGGTTTCCTTAATTTAATAAAATATTGTTCACACAGTCATATAGTTAAAAATTGAAGTGGTGTAAAATGATGGTCATTAAGCACTCGCTGCCACCCTGTGTCCCATCAATTTTATATCTGATTTGCCCTGCAGAGTTCATTGATTCAACTAATATTTATTGAGTCTTAGGCATTCAAAGTGTTCCTGACACTAAATGCTAAGGCAGATAGCAATGAATAGAACAGCAGGAAAAAAAAGCCCACTAGAGCTTACTTTTGGAGGGATAGACAGTCAATAAATAAAATAACTTAATTATATAGTATATTAGGAGATGAGCACTATGGAGGAAAATGAAGTGAGGGATGGTGAGTACAGGGAAGGAAGCATTTAGAATTTTAAAAGAATAGTCAGCACTTGAGCAAAGACTTGAAGGAGTTGTGGGAGCAAACCATGAAAATATCTGGGGTAGGACACTAAGGGCAAGGGGACAGCCTGTGCAAAGGTCCTGAGGTAGAAGTATATGTGTGTGCTTAAGGAACAGCAAGATGCCAGTGTGGCTGCACAAAATAAGCAGGGGGAGGTTACAGGAGATGAGGTCAGAAAGGTAAAGGGAGTGGAACTTCAGAATGCATTAAGCATTCTGTAAGATACACTTTGGAATGTTAAGAGCCAGTTTATTTAAAGATGAGCTTAAGGTGAAGAACCTTTAAGTTTATATTTCCATAAAACATTTTACTATTATTTTAGACTTTCAGAAAAGTAAAATGTTATCAAATTGGGTGAGATATTTGTAATCAATTTGGTTCTAAGATGATTTTTTTAAATTCACCAAGAAAGTCTGTTACTCTGTTGGTATTATAGATACATATCCACATTTATCCTTAAGCAAATTGTTTATGACATAATTTGACCTATATTATATCCAAATCTTTGAGACAATATATTTATAGTGATAATTTTCTTTGAGCTATAATATATAATTAAACTGCTAAGCTATGATTAGTAGCATGTAATCTCCATGTTACTGAATATATGTGAGGTTCTCTTTACTCTCTTAAAATTTTTTTAAATTAATTAATTTATTCTAATGTGGTATATATGACAGCAGAATGCATTTTGATTCATTGCACTCTTTATTCTTATAAAAAATAATTTGAGAATGTTAATTTTAAATCAAAGTTTAACTCTTTCCTTTTTACTCCTCACCCAGTGCTGCTCAGATTCTCCATCAGTACCCTGTTCATTATTATGCAAGGTTTGTGAGTCTTGAATACAGATATTAAAACATCTTGGTTAGTTTGACAGTTGTTAAAATAGCGAGGATTTTAATAACAAATTGCATTGATGTTTCTCTTTGTAGGTTTAGAAAATTGTTCAAAGCCAAACTGGGATTACTTGGTGAAAAGGAGGGTGATGATGAGTTAATCGCATTACTCTTACATGTGAGTTTATCACCTTTGTTAACATTTGCATTACTCTGCAGAATATTTTTGAAGTATTGAGATTGCTAAATGTATTAACTTTCATCAGCTCATGGAAAAGACAGAAGCTGACTTTACAATGACATTTCTGCAGCTCAGTGAGATTACCGAGAGCCAGTTTACAGGAACTCAACATTCCTCAGGTATTAACTTGTGACAGTAGCTTTTTTCTTAATTCAGTTTTCTTTACCAGGTTTATTGACATACAATTTATATATCACAGAGTCCCACTCATAAACTGTATAATTCAGTTCTTTTTAAAAGTTAACAGATTTGCGTAATTGTAACAATCCAGTTTTAGAATGGTTTTATCATTCTACAAAGATCCCTTGTGTTCTTCTGCAGTCAATCTTGTTTCTACTTCCAAGCAATTGCTGACCTGTTTTCTGTCTCTAAAGGTATCTGCTTTCTAGATATTTCATACACCTGGAACCATACAATATGGGATCTTTTGTGTCCAGCTTCTTCACTTAGTGTAGTTTCAAGGTTCATCCATGTCGTAATGTACATCAGTAGTTCTATCCAGGAATAGAATTGCTGGATTTTTTAATAGATTTAAATTTAACTTTTTAATAAACTGCTAAACTATTTCCAAAGTGGCTGCACTTAATTCAGTGTTAAGAATGTGTTGCCTTTTTATTTCAGTGCTAGTACATTGGATTTATGGAATGGTATGGGTATTATTAGAAGATTCCTATTTGTTGTGGAATTTTAGAACCATAGATCTATTTATCAGTCTCAAGTCTTTTAGATTGTAACCATTTTTTAGATTATTTTTGAGATTAAAGCCCAATTTTATTTTTATAATTTAAATTTCTTTACCTATTTATTTGTTGAAGGGCACCTAGATTGGTTCCATTACATTTTATGACATTCTTTGTATAGTTGATGTTATCTTTTTATAACTTTGTGTTGAAATCAGCCTACTCATTCATTTATTCAGCAAATACTGAGTACCCACTATTGTTGAGAGCTTTAGGGTTAGGCATCATAATAAATACTTTATAAAATAATGAAAAATTATTAATAATAGTAGCTATCATTTACTGAGTGCTTATTAGGGAGGTGAGATACATTGTTACTAATAAGGAGATAAGACTGCCCCTCCAACGCCAGCAACCTTGAGTGGGGCAGCATCTTCCGTTCTTTCCTACTGGCTTCCATAGTCATTTTTGATCTAGGTAGCATGGAGTCAGTAAAGCCCATCAGAACTTTTCCTGCTTTCAGTTTTTCTTCATGAAACAACTCTTAACTCTTATGGACTTTTAGAATAATTCAAACATTTTCATGTATCTAGAAAATTTTAGTTGTGTTACTTTACTTCTTTCAGTAAACCTTCATTGACAGCCCAGTCTGACTTAGATGTCCTTCCTTGTAGCTCCCTGAACAGCTTGCTGCCTGTTTTGATCTTGGCACTTTTCACACTGGTCTTGTAATGATGCATTTCCACTGGACACTTCTTTGGTTATGAAGAGACCAAAATTTAATCAGCTCTGTCTTTCAAATGTAGGAAAGACTTTAGCAAATAGTGTGCACTCACTAAATGTTTTTTGCCTATTGGCAAGGATTGGTGAAAGAAAACAACTTGTGAATACTGTAAATATGCCTGTCGTTCCTCCAGCTGCGATTCTCTTGGGCTGTGGGTACTTACCACTTTGCCTTTCTGCCCTATTTATTGGTATTTGTCTATATGGCAATAGTACATTTAAGAAATCTGGTGGATTTTAAAGTGATTTTTCATAAAGACACTTTCAGAATCTAGAAGTTGCTAGATATTGTGGTTTATTAAACCTAGGGAACAGAAACTACTAATTTTGTATAAGAAGTGGAAACAAAATCCTAAAGTCCTTGTCATTTGAGGGAGTAGCTCAATATAGTAATAATGGTAAAATTTTCATTAGTCTTTAACTTATTCTCTGTTAATAGAAAAACAGCAGGATTGGATCCTCATGCCTGAGGAAGCTCATCTGAAGGCATTTTCATGCTAAGAGCACTTTGTATGACGTTTTGGCAGCAGAATTTCATGGTGAAATGTGCTCTGAGCAGCGAGTAAGCCCTTACTGGGTCTGCTAGCTCATTTGTACCAGCAGCTCCTTCTCCCATCACTGTGTCTTGAATTAAATGCAGATTTGGAGTCCAGGGAGGAAGCCAAGGGCAGACAACTTTTCTTTGGGGCCCTATGTCCAGTCATAGTCACCAAAAGAAAGGCAGCATAAGTCAGAGGATGTAGTATTAGGGTCCTGTGGAATTTGAGTCTAGATGTCTTCACCTAATAGCTGAAACACTTGAGCATGTCCAGGTCCCAGTGCCTCATCAGTAACACAGGCCATCAGTCTCAATCCCCAACCCTTCCTCTCCTCCCTCTTGATGTTTAAGTAGGTAGTGTAGTCACCTAATTAAAACTTGTCTCCACCCACACATTCCCCTCATGCTACTCCTGGGAGAAACCATTTTTATTAATTTCTTATATGTCCTTCTAGCATTTCTTGGTGCAAATGAAAGTATATTGTATTTTTTCATATAAAAAGAGCCTATTTATATAATATAGGTTTTAATAATATAATATATCGTGAAGACCTTTCTACATGAATAAATAGAATAATTCTTATTCTTCTTGCAGTGCAAAAACAATCTGTTGAAGTACCATATTTTATCTAACCAGTTCCCTACAGTGGGATTTCGGTTGCTTCCAAACTTCTGCTATTACAGTGAATATAGGGTATTTCATTTGGTACAGATGTAGAGAATTTCCAGGAATGAGTTCTAGGAAAAGGACATATGCATTTGTAATTTTGCTAGATCTTATCAAATTGTTATAGGCTTTAATATTTTGTATTTTCATCAGAAATATGCCATTATCCCTCTGTAACTGTGGAGAAGTAGTTTCAGAACCCCAATGGATACCACAATCTGTGGATACTCAAGTTTGTCCTATAAAATGATGGAGCATTTTTTTTTTAGTTGCTGATGGACCTTTATTTTATTTATTTATTTTTATGTGGTGCTGAGAATCGAACCTAGTGCCTCATACATGCAAGGCAAGCGCTCTGCCACTGAGCCACAACCCCAGTCCTCTCACACATAATTTTAAGTTATCTCTAGGTTGCTTTCAGTACCTAATATAATGTTAATACTTGCAAATAGTTATGATACTGTATTGTTTAGGGAATAAAGACAAGAACAGAAAGTTGGCCCATGTTGAATACAGACCTATTTTTTTTTCTGAATATTTTGATCTGCAATTGATTGATTCCATGGATATGGAATCTGCAGATAAGGAGGACCAACTGCCTTTGTTTTTTTTTTTTAATTTTTTTTTTGGTACTAGGGATTGAATTCGGGGGCACTCAACCTCTGAGCCACATCGTCAATCCTATTTTTTTGGATTTTATTTGGAGACAGCGTCTCATTGAGTTGCTTAGTCCTCAATTTTGCTGAGGCTGGCTTTGAACTTCTGATCCTCCTGCCTCAGCCTCCTGAGCTACTGAGATTATATGCATGCACCACCACGCTCAGCTCAATTGCTTTTATTTTTTTATATCTTTATTTAATTCATTTATTTATTAACTTATTAATGTGGTGCTGAGGATCAAACCCAGTGCCTCTCGCATGTTAGGCAAACACTCTATTTCTGAGCCACAACCCTAGCCCCAACTGTCTCTATTTTTAAGAGGGAAAAATTCATTAAAGAAAAAGATCAAAATAAATGCTGGAAAAGAAAATATTGTGATTTTCTTCAAGGTGTATTTCCCTGATATTCTTTTTAATTAATTCATCTTAATTAGGTATATATGACAGCAGAATGTATTTTGATTCATTGTACACAATTGCAGCACAACTTTTCATTTCCTGGTTGTGCATGATGTAGTATTACACCATATGTGCAGTCATTCATGTACCTAGGGTAATGATGTCCTCTCGTTCCACCATCTTTCCTGCCCCCATTCCCCCTCCCCATCACTTCCTCCCCTTTGCCCCATCAAAGTTCCTCCATTTTTCTCATGCTCCCCCCCCCACCATTATGGATCAGCATCCACTTACCAGGGAGAACATTTGGCTTTTGGTTTTTTGGGATTGGCTTACTTCTCTTTGCATGATATTCTCCAACTCCATTCATTTACCTGCAAATGCCATAATATTATTCTCTTTCAATGCTGAGTAATATTCCATTGTGTACATATACCACAGTTTCTTTTTCCATTCACCTATTGAAGGGCATCTAGGTTGCTTTCACAATTTAGCTGTTGTTAATTGAGCTGCTATGAACATTGATGTGGCTGCATTACTATAGTATGCGGATTTTAAGTCCTTTGTGTATAGACCAAGGAATGGGATAGCTGAGTCAAATGGTGGTTCCATTCCAAGTTTAAGTTGCCAAGGCTGACTTGAACTTGCAATCCTCCTGCCTCAGCCTCCTGAGCTGTTAGGATTATAGGGTTGTGCCACGATGCCCAACTATATACTTATTTTCTCAAAGTTAGAAATGGTGTCCTACTAATTTTTATATCCTGCATTAACTGTAGTTCCCAGCACATAGCCATCATTTCATAAATATTTTTTAAGTGAATTAATGGATAACTAAATAAAATGCAGTTGCAGATTAAGGTTTTTATACAATAAAAGACTTCCCTATGTAAAAAAAGACTTGTTTAATGTAAGTATTCCGTATGTAATCTCTTATCTCTATTTATAAGAACTTCGTCCATTTTTTATTTCTCTTAAATCATGCCATTACCTCGATTTCTATGAAGCAGAATTTTAGAGTTAAATTTAAATAAGGAAAAAAAAATTTTTGCGAGAATTTCACTTGAAATAGCATTCTGTATAAAAATCTGGGTGAGTTATTATTAAAGGATATAAACAATGTAAATAAACATGAAATTAAAACAAACTGAGCAAATATTAATATAATAACCAATATATTGACATATTTTCCTTTAGCAATTCTGGGCACTGAAGACAATTTCAAAGCATGAACTCTTTCCTACCTGGGTGTCCAAATACATTTTGAGACTGAAGAGGTAAAGTCATCTAATTACTTCCCAAAAAAAGTATGTGATATTTTAATATTTTGTCATTGTTAACCTATCAGGTTCCTCCCTTCAGTTTCATTTTTCAGCGTTTCTTTGTTGTTGTTGTTGTTGTAGATGGACACAGTAGCTTTATTTTATTTGTTTTTTAATTTTTTAATTTTTTTATATGTTTCCGGGGATCGAACCCAGGTGCCTCATGCATGCTAGGCAAGCACTCTACCACTGAGCCACAATCTCGGCCCTCAGTGTTTCTTTTTATCCTGGCTGAAGCACCTAGGGTTAACACCTCACCTGTGCAGAGAGCATTCACCTATTCATTCAACTCTGATTACACAGCTCACACCGTGAGCCATGGAGGAGGGTCTGTAGGCTTCTGTCCAGTGTCTATTTATTATCACATCATGCCTCATAATGAATTAGAAGCAGCCAACATGAAAGAGTAAAGGAGTTGAAGGTAGTGGCAGGTATGGGGAGAAGGAAGAGCCAGGAAAACCACAAGATGTTCAGGACAGAATAGGCCTTTGCCACTTAATGGCCCTTGCTAGCTATTTATAAAAAGAATCCTCAAAAGGGAACTCTCAGTAATCGAGAAAAAGTTAAATTATGTTCAGAAAACTTATGTTCAAGACAAGGAAAAGTATCAATGCAGTTTTTTTTTAGACAAAATGGTTTTGTTGGGGGGTGGTGGGGGTACCAGGGATTGAATCCAGGGGTACTTAACCACTGAGTCTACATCCCCAGCTCCTTTTTTAATTTTTTATTTTGAGGGAGGGTCTTGCTAAATTGCTCAGGGACTTGCTAAATTAACAAGGCTGGCCTCAAACTTGAAATCTTCTTGCCTCAGCCTGCTGAGTTGCTGGGATTACTGACATGCACCACCACACTTGGCAAAACGTTAGGTTTTCATTGGATAAAATAAAAGAAGGTTTGGTGTTATCTAAAACTACCAAAAAAGGTAGTATTTTGTAGTGTTTACTCAAACTTGGTTTGAATATTGTTTCCTTTTTTCTTTTTTTTGTGGTTCTAGGGATCAAACTCAGACCCTCACACATGAAGGCAAGCACTCAACCACTGATTTACATCCCTAGTCCACCAATACAAATATATTTGTATTGGTTGTATATTGTATTACCTTTTCTTCCCTTCCTATCATCCTTTCACACACTGATTCAGTGTGATTTTTGAGTTTCGCCTCACTATTTGTGTTGTCAAATAATTTCCTCCTGTTTTTGGTTTTTTTTTGGTGGTGGTGCTGGGGGTTGAACCCAGGCCTTGTGCATGCAAGGCAAGCACTCTACCAACTGAGCTGTATCCCCAGCTCCTATTTCCTCCTGTTTATAAAAAGAATATAATTTGGGGAAATAGTGGTTAATTTTGTCCTCTGTTCATTTTTAGTAACATGAATGACTCAGTTTCTGAAAGAAGAAAAAGAATGATAAGTAAGCAATCCTTTTGATTTTCTTGATTTTAAGGATTATCACATGAAAGCAACATTTATTCTAAAATCAAAAAGCAATCACTTAAAGGGATTGAGTTTTGTGTGTTTTTAACTAGAATAAGTTTGAGTATTTTAGTTGGATTTAAGTGTCACATATGGGTCTTCCTAATTTTAGCAGATGTCTTTAAGAGTATGATAGCTCTGTTATCAGTAAGTTTTTATACTCATATTAAATAATGTTGTTTTAAAAGATAATAGACAAGTAAGTGGTTTGGGATCTGGTGGAAAGTACATGGATTTGGAATAAGGCAGATAAATCTCATCTCTGCCAGTTTTTGCTACCTGATCTGCAAGGTATTTAACTCTCTAACTCTCAAGATCTTAACTGTAGTAAAATGGGGGATATTTTATAAGGATGAGCAATAATATATAGAAAGTATCTTGTGCCTGGACATAACACATCTAATAAATGATAGCTTTAAAAATATATATCTTTTATGTGTTGATTTTCAGTTTACCATGTAACTTCATACCTGGCTTGAGATGGAAAAAAATGAAAATTAGTTCATTTTGTAATGCAGGATCTAGCAAGATGAAAGAAATCATGACAGAAGAACCTAAGACTGCCTTGAGACTTGTATCAGGAGCTAATGTGTATCATCTGGATTTCATTGCTGGTCACTTATTTTAGTCAGCTTTTTTGTTGCTGTGGCCCAAAAAACCTTACAAGAATAATTAGAAGAAGAAAAGTTTGTTTGGGGACTCATGGTTTCAGAGAGCTTAGTCCATGAATTGCCAGCTTCATTCTTTGGGACCTGAGGTGAGGCAGAACATCATGGCACAAGTGTGTGGTAGAGGAACGGAGCTGGGGATACATAACAGGAAGCAGAGAAAAAGAGATCTGGTCAACAAGGAGAAAATATAAATCCCAAAGGCACACCCCCAGGTACCCACCTCCTCCAGTCACACCCTACCTACCTATAGTTACCACGAAATTATTCCTTTCAGGGGATTGCTGCACTGATTATGTTCGACCTCTTACATCCCAGTCATTTCACCTCTAAACTTTCTTATATTATCTCACATATGAGCTTTTGGGGAACACCTAATATATAAACCATAATATCACTTAGGTCCCTTTGGACAATCATTCAGAACTCATAGGCCAGCCTAGACTATCAATAATCTCAGCAGTTAAGAGAAAGAAGAAATTGAAAGAAAAATAATGTGGCAGTCTGTCATATTTAGATTTGTTTGGTTATAACAGAGTGGATGAGATGGTAAAATGAAAAGAAATTTTGTAAGCTCAAGGTTACAGTTTTGCTTCTGTTATTTTAGAGAAATAATAAATGTTAAACAGTATGCTCTCAAGAAAGTGAGAAAAATCAATTTCCACAAAAGACAGTGGCATAATAAGCAGTTTATTTATTTTTAAGGTACACTTCCATATATTATATTTAACTGATCTATATTTTGAAATATCTAAAAAATTGGTTGCACAAATTTATGTAACAATGTCTACCAGGGATATAGAATTAAAGAGTAATAAGGGCATGAAGAAATAAACATCTCAAAGGAATTTACAGGTCAGTGAAATCTGAGTCCTCAATTCCCTTCTGAGCACATTCCTGTCCTGGATTTACTGTCCTCAGAGGAGCAGTGTAGTGTGGGCTCTGGAGATAGGCCTGCTAGACGGTGTCAGCCTGTCACTGGACACCTCACTGCTTTTTCTCTCTGGTGTGTAATTATTTCTTATTTATTGGTTCTTTTTAGTTATACAAGACAGTAGAATCCATTTTGATATAATTATACAAGCATGGAGTATATCTACTGAACTTCTCTTCTCCCTGCCCCTTATTGTGGGTTAGCTTACACATATCAGAGAAAACATTTGACCTTTGGCTTTTCCAGACTGGCTTATTCACTTAGCATAGTAGTTTCTAGATCTGTCCATTTACTGACAAATGTTATAAAATTCTTCTTTATGGCTGAGTAATAGTACACTATGTGTGTGTGTGTGTGTGTGTGTGTGTGTGTGTGTATCTCACAATTTCTTTATGCATTCATCTGTTGAAGGGCACTTAGCTTGGTTCCATAGCTTAGCTCTTGTGAATTGAGCTGCTATAAACATTGATGTGGCTGCCTCAGTGTAGTAAGCTGATTTTAAAGCCTTTGTATATATTCTGGTATATAATTTTTAAGTACTTTATTCAGTTATAACTTGATAACCATAAAATTTGTCCATTTGAAGTTAAAATGATTTTCCTCCAAAATTAAAAAAGCTGTGCTGTCATTATGATCTAGTTTTTAAGCATTTTCCACTTAACCTGACATAACTTTTGTTTCCTCACCTATACAATGCATTTAGATTATTGCAGAAATTAAATTAGTGGCATATAGTAAGTATTCAACTACTATATTATTACAGAGCACATTAACTATCTTTGCCACAGGAGTGTAGGCAACCCTGGGATGAATACAGTGTGTTTTTTGGTTTGTTTATTTGTTTTGGTGTCAGGGATTGAACCCAAGGGAACTTAAGCACTGAGCCACGGGCCCTTTTTATTTTTTATTTGGAGACAGGATCTCACTAAGTTGCTTAGGGCCTTGCTCAGTTGCTGAGGCTGGCTTTGAACCTGTGGTCCTCCTGCCTCAGCCTCCCAAGCCACTGGGATTTCAGGTGTGTGCCACTGTACCTGGCGAGTACAGTATTTTCTAGAAACCAGAAGACTGGAAATATGTTGCCACTTAAAATAATTTCAAAACATTAAAAAAAGTGTTTTTTTTTAAGCCTCCTGTGACACTCAGGATAACCACTGGGTTTTTTTGTTGTTGTTCAAAGGTAATATTTCTGATGATGTTTAATTTTATAGGACTATAAGATTGATTTGTAATAGTTTTAGTCTTTTGTGACTGTAAAAATTGATGATGAATAGTCTATTCTACAGTTGTAATGGAAAAAATTAAGATTGTCAGACTTTCAGAGGAAAGCAGCTGATATCCCCAAATGATATCCATTTATTTAAAATATGTTACCCTAACTAGCTCTGGCATTGTATGATTTGGTTTATATTGCCAAGAACATTTTCTTAAAGCCATGAAATACCTACATTGGCATTATCTACATTAAAATTTGTTTGGTTGTAATTCTTCTCCAGCACCAAATGGATTTATCCAGCAATCATTACTAACCCCAATTATATACCTTTTTGCACTTGTCACATTATTTAAAGCTGAAGTCTCCAGGATGAATTAGATTTCTGCCCTCAAAGAGCCTATAATCTAGTGAATCAGTGCTTATCTCATTATGTAAACTCTGGTTGGACTTTCGTGGGATGTAATTCTCATTAAGCAATGCTTAAAATTTTATTACCAAAAGAAATAACTTCAAACAGAAGGTTCCAAACCAGATAAGATTGTACAGAATCAAGTAACTACTCAAAGAATCTTATATAGGTAGAACGTCCCTTATTCAAAATGCTTTTTTCAGATTTCAGATTTTTTACATTTTGGAATGTTTGCATAGATTTAACTGGGCGAACCTACCTATCAAAAATCTGACATCTTAAATTTGATCCTGAGTATTTCTGCTTGCATCTGCAATTCCTAGCATGTTTTAATAATACTTCTTTGCTAGGTTCCTATAAAGCATTTGTCATATTTGTGACTCTTAACTGGGTGACTGTACTCTCCCTCTCAGCCTAAGCTGAATGTATCCACAATTCACTTCACATATCAGTTACCCATTTGTATAAAGACTGCAAATACACTATTTGTATATATGTGTTTTTATTATAAAGGAATTCTGTATGAAAATGAAATCTTGCAGAAGAATTTTAAAAGAACCCTATATTCTCTTCATCTAAATACAATTACTACTTACATTTTGATGCATTTGCCTCTAATTTCTTTTTTCATGTGTTTTTTTTTTTCTTTTTTGGTACTGGGGATTGAATCTGGGACACTTAACGACTAAGTTCATCCCAGCCCCTTTATTAAATTTTGGATTTTGAGACATGGTCTTACTAAAGTTGCTTAAGTTCTCCCTAAATTGCTGAGGCTGACTTTGAACTTGTAATCTTCCTGCCTCAGCCTCCTAAGCCAATGGGATTGCAGGTGTGTGCCATTGCCCCCGGCTCTGTGTGTTGTGATTAGGAGAAAATATAGTAGTGTCATAATATGGGGTAATATTCTTTCTTTGCCTCTCCCCCCCTCCTTCCCTTTATTCCTTCTTTCTATCGAATTTAGGGCCTTAAACATTCCAAGCATATGCTCTCCTCCTAAGCTATATCCCTAGCCCCTATCGTATAATTTCAGATCTTTTATTTCACTAAAAAAAATTAAGCATATTTTCTTGCTATTTCATTCATTTTTAAATATCTTTATTTGTTCTTATCAGTTAGACGTAACAGTAGAATGTATTTTGCCATATTACACATATGTGGAGTATAACTTCCCATTTTTCTGTTTGTACATGATGTGGATTTACATTGGTTGTGTAGTCATATATCCACATAGGAAAGTTATGTCTGATTCATTCTACTGTCTTTTATATTTCCATCCCTCTCCCTTCCCTTCATTCCCCTTTGTCTAAACCAAAGTACTTCTATTCTTTCCTATCCCTCACCTCTTATTATAAGTCAACATCTGCATATTAGAGAGAACATTCAGCCTTTGGTTTTTTTGCATTTTTGTAGTGCTCAGGATTGAATCCAGGGCCTTGGAAATGCTAAATAATCACTCTACCACTGAGTTATGTTCCCAGCTATATACTATATATGTTTTATGACTGCATAATATTACTTTGAAAACATATGTAATGTTTACTTAACCTATTCCCCTATTATTAAATATTTCAGTTGATTTTAGTTTTCCTTTAATACAAATAATTCCTTTTATGTTTAAATATGTTTCCTTAGACTGTATTCCAAAGAAGTAGAATTACTGGATCAAAGGATCTTTACTTTTTAGATTATCTATTATAATGACAGATCTTTAAAACTAAGTTGAAATTGAATAGGTATGTTCTCTTCATTCCAGTAATTTGGAAACTGAAGCTGAGAATCATGTAACTGATCTCAGAATATCTGTTAGGCCAATGGAAAGAGCATGTCTCCTCCCGACCCACTTGATAAGTCTTTTTAGAAAATGCTCATCTCAAATAAAGACATGGTTTGTAGAATTTTTCAAAATGTACCATTATTGAAATACTTTTAAAAAAATATTCATTTTTTTAGTTGTAGTTGGACACAATACCTTTGTTTTGTTTATTTATTTTTATGTGGTGCCGAGGATCAAACCCATGGCCTTGCACTCACTAGGTGAGCGCTCTACCACTGAGCCACAACCCCAGCCCCTGAAATATTTTTTTAATATGAAAAAAATGCACATTATTGTAAAAAAAATACAGGTATATAAAAGGTTTTATCACGTGACCTTTCCTGTTTGCTCCTGGGCATAATCGACTCAGTGCAACTGAATCAGACTGCAATTCTGATGCCTACAGATGCTAAAGACAGAAACTGTTTTATTCTTTCACTCTCCATGTGGGCAGCTAGGCCTAATTCAAATGAACTATCTACTTTTCTTTAGCTTTATGGAATGCTTAATAAGCTTACAGTGGTGGAAAAAAACAAATTAATGATGAAACTAAATAAAACAGATATTGATCATGATGCTAAAATGTTTTTATATATCATAATAAATATTCAACAATATTTAGAAACATTCAATATTGTCTGACACTGACACTTCTCTTTTGAGCCAGTAAACTTTTAAAAGATTAACTAATTTCACTGGTGATTTAACGTGGCCTTTGTTCTCTCAGTAATTTATTGTTCTAAGATTACTTTCTTCTCTGGGTTAAGCTGTGAATCCTAGGTATGTGCTGAAGAACTGGATGGCTGAATCTGCAGTACAGAAAGCAGAAAGAAATGATTTTTCAGAGGTAAGATGATTGACTTCCCTGGTTTATTTTTATTAATTTTAAATGTAACATATTTAAACATTTATTTTGTTTATAAACATTCTCAACCATACCATTACCAACACCAGCTTCCCACATTTCACTCTGCCCATTTTTCTTGTGTATCAGAGAATCATTTTTCTCTTATTTCTACTTTAATGTGTTCACATTTTTAATTATTCATTTTCATTTAAAAAATTCATATGTATAATATTTGAACTTCTGAGGGACTGATTCTGCTGTTTATTGTTTTTGTTTGGGCATTTTTGAGTTTCAATCTCTAAAATGTAGTTGAGGGTGTGTCATTTCAGAGGGCATAGTTAGCATTTGGTCCTATCAGGTTAGAATTATCCTGTGCTTCTACCATGGCACTGCCAACCTGAGTTCATTTTAAATTAATCAGCTAGAGCTACGCATATCATCATGAAATGTGAAACATAATAAGCAGGAAGCAGAATAATTTTACATTGTGTTACCATTTAAATACAGTAGAAAAACATGCAAAAACATACTAGTAACATGCAATATGGCTTCAACCATTTTGGAAGTATTTGGTTTATGAAACTGAATAGAGGATACACAGGTGCTTATTATATTATTTTGTATATCTTCTCCACCTCAAATCTTTCATAATTAATTGTTTAAAGATACATTACACATAATGTATTATTTTAGGCCAAAAATAGCCCTGGCACTGATGTTGTCAATGACCATCCTATACCTGAAACAAATAATATTGATGGTCATGGCCCTCTTTTTCTCTAAACTTATCACAGCCTAAGATGTACTCACAGCATGCTGTGTAGTCACTATCAACTGATAAGAGTTGGCATATAAGGGAAACTATTTTTGCTATTTCTAATTCAGAACTTGCACTAACTTTTTATTTCAGTAGTCTAACTAGCCTGACAATTTTAGGTTTTCATTTCGGAAAATGGAATATTTTTAAATGTAATCTTTTTATGGCACTAAGGAAAACAAAGAGAAGGAAATAACTCAGTATTTATCACTTGATAAATTTATCTGAGCTGGGGAAACTGAAGTTGTTTTGTTGGCCTGTTCTCCTTCTTTCCCTAGCTTATATTCTTTCTCTTCCTCCAAATTATATTTGAGTAATAATACATTGCCTACTGGGTGGAGTGGAAGGATAGGATTTCTTAAGTTCAATGACTTTTATTTATTTTCCTGGTGTAGGGGATTGAACTCAGGACCTTGTGTATGCTAGGCAAGCACACTACCACTGAGCTATATCCCCAGATTGATGTGACTATTATAGACCACACTTGGCTGCCATCACCACAGAATGGTATAGGACAGGTACATAGCTTCTAAGAGGGCAACATCAGGTTCCTTGTGTTCAGGAGTTTTTACAGCAGTATACACCAGCAGTAAGGCCCAACAGTGCAGCCTGGGTACAAGGAGACAAGAGCCACAGTGGGAAGATTCAGGGGTATCCCTGGCTTAAAAGATTCATGCTGCACAGAAACCAGTCTCTCATCACAACTTGATAGAGTTTCCAAAGTCTGTACAACAGACTATACCTACAAGTACCACACTTAGGAAAGCCCAAAGCACTATATCAGGTATTTCCAGTTCTACTAGTCCTTAAGCAATTGTCAATATTGCTTAATATTAATCATAGTCAATTTTTATTCATAATCATAATCATAATTCATAATCATAGTCAATTTTTATAATATTAATCATAGTCAATATTGTATGGTGATACTATTCATATACCATATATCAGGTTAGCAAAGGAACAAACCTAGAAACTAAACTAAAGGTCAAATTCTCATTTCCTTCTCAGGAGAGGGGAAAGATTTTGTTAAACCTTTGTACATGTAGCTCTTTATATTTGCAACTGGTTTTCTTCTTTTTTCATCAAATATTTCTTGAGAATCCACTCAATGCAAGGCACTGGAAAGAAGTGTAAAAATCTAGCTGGGATGTTTTTAAACTAGTAGGTGAGATTGATAGGTATGCAGCTAACTTCAATAAAAGGACATGGTTAGTAAATATTTGGGGGAAAGTTCCAGGAGGGGCTCTAAGAGCATTATGTTTATCATGATGCAGTCTTCCTATTTAAACAATAATACACATAGCCAAGAAATAAGTGAAAAAATGTTCGACATTCTTAGGCATTAAGGTAATGCAAACCAAAACTACACTGAGATTTCATCTCCAGTAAGAATGGAAATCATCAAGAATATAAATAGTAATAAATGCTGGTGAGGATGTGGGGGAAAAGGAACATTTATACACTGTTGTGGAATTGTGAATTAGTATAACCACGATGGAAAGCAGCATGGTGATTCCTCAAAAGACTAGGAACGGAATGATCATGTGACCCAACTATACCACTCCCCGTTATTTATCCCAAAGAATTGAAGTCAGCATAGTATAGCAATGTACACATAACTGTGTTTATAGCAGCACGATTCACAATATCCAGATTATAGAGCCTGTCAATAGATAATGGATAAAGAAAATATGGTTATGTATGCAATGGAGTTTTATTCAGTCATAAAGAAGAAGGAAATTATGTCATTTGTAGGAAAATGTTGGAACTTGAGAGTATTATGTTAAGTGAAATCAGTAAAGACTCATTAAGTCTTTTCTGTCATATGGAGGCTAGAGAGAAAAAAGGAAAACAAAGTTGGAGGAACTCATGAAATTAGAAGGGAGAACAGTAGAGTAGAGGAAGGGGATCAGGGGGAAAGAGGAGAAGAGGGAAAAGGGAGGTACTGGGAAACGAAACTGACCAAATTATATTATATACATGTAATAATATGTCATAGTCAGTCCCACTATTTGTATAATTATAATGCACAATAAAAAATTAATTAAAAAATAAAAATTAGGATAGTGGCACCTGCCTGTAGTCCCATCTAGTAAGCTGAGGCAGGATGGTTGCTTGAGCCCAGGGCTTTGAGGCCAGCCTGGCAACATAGCAAGACCCTATCTCAAAAAAAAAAAAATTAGTAATATAATAATATGGTCTTTTGGCTTTACTGTCTTAGTGTAGATAATCATCCACCTTTTTAGTTAGTTCATTTGTTTAGTTTGAGACAAGTCTCACTATGTTGCCCAGTGTGGCTCAAGCTTGTGAGCTCAAGTGACCTTCCTGTCTCAGCCTCCTTAATAGCTAGGACTATAACTGCACACCACCACATTCAGCTTCAATCACCTTTTTCTAACAGAATAAGGCATTTCCTTCATAATACCTAAGGAAGTCACAAAATCAGCGAAAATATACATTATGGTTTTGGACTTTGTTGAAAGATGTGTCTTAGATGCCTCCGTTTATTTTCATAGGGCAAAATTCCACACGAGGAAGCAACATGAGTTGGAATCCATGCCCTTGATTTGGAAAGTTTGCAAGTTATTAACAACCTTTTATTTTTCAAAATATTTTAGAAAATTATAATCCTCAATCCTGTGAAGGAATCTTGAAATTACTGGGATATATTTGTAGTCTTTATGGATATATATATATATAATTTTGGTCTAAAGTAGTACTTAAAAAATTCTGTGGAATAATAAATAAATAATTATAGTTGAGGTTTTGATAAAAGATAAAATATATAAAGGTTTGCAAATACATTTAAAATGTACTTTGCCACTTTCGAAATTTAGAAAATTAACAAGGGTCCTGAGTAAGAAAATCTGTTTTACCTACTTGAATTGTTTAACTAGGTCCGTCTTCTCCATCAAGTACTTCGGAGTCCTTTCCAGAAGCATTCGGCAGCTGAGAAAGCAGGCTACGCCTTACCAACTCCTTCTTGGGCTAAAGATCTCAGAGTCAGTTGCTCATCTTAATTTGGGAAAAATCAATTAAAAATACTTCTATTATTTAACTTAACATGGAATAATCTATTCAGTAAATTCTTAATTAAGGATTATCATCTACATTTTGAGGACAATCCCATGTTTAATAATAATGATTATATGCAAAAATATTTTTAGCCAAATAAATTGGACCTTATTCTTGAAACATCTCTGTGATCATTTTTGTTCTAATCAATAACTTAATGGAAGAATAAAATGTTTTTAGCAAAACAATGAGTTAACCTCAATGACTTAGAAGTCTTATGACAGTATTTTAATCAAAATGGTTTATAGGTATTCATCTAGTACTTACTAAGTGTTATGCATTTTGGGGTACATTGATAAGCAGGTAGCTTAATTGTACTCCTAGAAGATTTTTTTCTATAATGGAAACATTTCCTGAAGTAGAGAAAATATTTTTATGACTCCAATTTATATTTAACCATCTTACTAATTATAAGTGCATGGCCAATCTTCCCTCACCTATATAGCCACTGGGTTCAAGATATATATATATATCTCAGAAAGATCAGTAGAGGAGAGGAAAGGGAACAGGGAGAGGGAGGAGAGGGAAGGGAAAGGTAAGTATTGAGGACTTAATTGAACCAAATTATATTCCATGCATTTATAATTATGTCAAAATGAATCCTAACATTATGTATAACTAATATGAACCAATACAAAAATAAAGAAATTTAAAAGTTTCTAAGGCCCAATTATTGAGTTGAATCATCTTAATATCATACCAGCTATTGTTTCTGTGATCAGATCAAATATGTGAATCATAATAAAGATCTAAATGTTCTCCCTTTGAGGATTTACGGTAAAAATCTTACTTCAGATTCTATTATATGGCAGGTTAAATGTTTCCTATAAACTGTCAAATGTTGTAGTTTTAGTTGCAGTTGACCTATTACATGGGTCTTTGTCCTGATGACATTATATAAGAAATTGTATAGTTTTTATGAACCAAGATATAGGATTATTGTCTTAATCCTTGCACTCTTTGCCACATCTCTAGCTCTGTCCTGGCTTTTGCACTTGCCCTCTGCAAAGACCTCACTTAGCTTCATGAAAAAAGAACAAATTTTGCTTTGTTTCCAGGGCCAATCTCAATAATCACACTCAGGCATAGGAGCTGTCTGTGAAGACCTTCCAGTCAGATACCAAAGACTGTTCCACTGAGTGAAAACTGCAGAGATCATGATCTGGTGCCTGGGTCTGTCAAAAGCAAACTTCTGCCCAGGATTCACTAACTAAAAGCAGCACAGATTTCTAAGACTTCTGTCCATAAATACATGGCCAACTGTATGTCAATATTTTGACTACAAAACTAATTCTCTTCAGTATCTTGCCTAAAATACACATTATCAAATGTTAAAATTCATGAACAGTGTAGTTTTAATTTTTAGTTTTCCCCACTATAAGGATATATGGTATAGATGGAAGTTACTGGGATGTGATCCATCTTCGTGGCCTGATTCCTTCCAGAAGTGACACTTCTGGGGTCTCAATGAAGCCCATTAAACCACATCCCTCTCTTCTACTCTCCCACGTCCTCATGTCCTACTCTCTGGACCCCTCCTGATCCACAGTGATGCATCCCTACTGCCTCTTTTATCATGTTTGGCTAAAGATGGTGGGACAAGGAAATGGCCTTTCCTTACCTTGACCGATGCTGTACTTTTTCAGAGAATTTTTCCAGTTAGGATGAAAGATAGCCAGGCTGTCCCGGCCTCTTTAGACAGAGTTGACAGAAATTTGGGAATTGCAGAGTGACTTTCCTCCATCATAGGGACTGAAAAGTACAGTGACAATGCAGAGAGTAACAATGTTTGCAAAGAGGTAACAATGAGGTAAAAGTATAGAGAAGAAAATTGAGAAATGAATTGTATTTCCAGGAACCACTTCTAGGGCCTGGCTGAGAGTCTAGGCACATGCTTGGTGTTATTGGAACTGTGCCTCTGATCCACAGAATAAATACCACCTTTTACTTGAGCTTTTCCAGTTGATTTTATTACTTAAAGTCATAGTCATCATTGATAGAATGGGCTTGACTATATTTTCAGGGTGCCTTCATCCTTAAGATTCTGTGGCTGTCAGATGGAAAGAACACTTTTCCTTCCTTCTGCAGATATGACCATGAATACCTTTGAGGTTTTTAGCCTGAAATAAACTCAGCCAAGCACTACTCTTTTGCTTACAGTGGTCCTAAATTCTAAGTTATTCTCAAAGATGAATGCATTTTTTGATCTGCAAACTAGGTGATAATTTTGATTCAGATAAGTAAATCCAGATTATAATCCTTTTGAAGGATCTTTTGTCCTGAGCCACCGGGTGACTGACCTGGACAACTGTGTGTAACAATAGATATTTATCTCTCTTTGTTGAACTTTAAATCTCCAAATCAGTCTGTGATCAAATCGTGCCATTAATACCTTTCCTATATTGTTTCAGGATCTGCATAATGGCCAGGCTTTGGTCAGGTATCAGATAAGCTGTGTTTTCAGTGCAGTGACATTAAAAAATCACAAACTAAAACAAAAAGGAAAGAGAACAGAATGAATTGTATTATAAAATATTGATTTACCTACTATTAAGCATTTGCTCAAAAATTTAAGAGCACCTTTTCTAGATATTCCTTCTTTCTATTAGTCTACCTTACCAGCTTTAATTACTAAATATTTTGATTTTTAAAACTGAATGTGTCAATTTAGAGCTTAATTTTCTCTAAATACTAAAATCCAAGATTAATCATCTTCCTTAATTCAAAAAAACAATGCTTTGTTTAGTTGTAGGTAGACACAATACCTTTTATTTTATTTTTTAAATTTTTATGTGGTGCTGAGGATCCAACTCAATGCCTCATGCATGTTAGGCAAGTGCTCTACCACTAAGCCACAACGCCAGCCCCAGGAATTTTAAAATTAATACAAAACAAAAAACACAAAAAACAAAACAGAAAAAAACCCAGAGCCATGGAAATGAAAATAAAACAATCAGGAACTAATTAGAGAGTAGTTTTCAGAAACTACTTAGAGATTTGACATAGAAATAGAAAATATGTTAAAGATCAATAAGACTTAGAAAGACACAGGATTTGGGAAGGTTTGAGAAGGTCAAATATAGTGTTGATATTGCATTAAATTTATACAATCATATTTCTAGAAATTCTGTCTTAAGCAAAACTTTCAACTTTTATTAATTTGAGGCTTCAGAGCATAATAAAATAAACGAACCCAAAACATCATTTT